CCTAGTTTTATTCTTTTCATGTTCTGAGGCATTCAGTTCTTCCCTAAGATTACTAATGTTTTGCTGTGATGACTTCACATTAATCCTAGATGAAGTTACTTCCTCTTTTAAGTTATTTCTTTCTATAAAGAGTTCTCTTCTTTGTTTGCATAAATCCTTAAATGTGATAGACAATTTGGATGAATACAATAACAATTCGTACTATGCATTTAAAACTAAGTATAGGTCAGAGAGGCTTACCTCATCATCAGAGTCATTTGATGTATTCTCGACATTTTCTGCTACAAAGCATACTTTGACGTCTTCATCCTTGTTAGATGTGTCCAGGTCTTCCTAGGTATTTTCTTCTTTTCGTATCTAGGCCCGACTGACTTCTTTTTCATCCTTTCAATCTCGGGGACATTTTGATTTGAAATGTCCATGTTTATTGCACTCATAATAGACAATTGTGTCTTCCACTCATCTGTCTTTTAGATTGTTCTTAGAGCCAGATCCAAAGCGTAAGCTCTTGAACTTGTGCCTCTTCTTTTCCTCCACCTAGATTGAAGCTTTCTCGAAATAAATGAGAGCTCCTATGCTTCGTTCTCGTTCATGGAGTTTTGTTCATCGTCAGACTCCTTAGAGGATTCATCATTTTTGAGAGCTTTCATGGACGTCCTCTTGACAACTTTGAGCGTGAAACTTTTCTCCTTTTTTATTGCACCATCTTGTAGGAGCTCGAGCTCATATACTTTCAAAATCCCGACCATCTCTTATAGGCTCATTACGTCAAGATTCTTTGATGTTTTAAGAGCTGTGACTTGTGGTCTCCATTGTCTGGGAAGACTTCGTAGGATTTTATCAATATAATCGAAGTTGTCATATGACTTTCCTAGATATTTGAGCTCATTTAGGATTGTTTGGAGTTTGCTAAACATGATCTAGATGTTTTCGTTTTGCCGTATTATAAACAACTCATACTTGTTAAGACTAAATCGTCTATGCGCCTAAACACTCTCATGTTTTGAAGTTTAACCAAATAAGATTAAATAGAATAATAATTTGAACATAACATAGGAAGAAACATAAGACTTAGAGCCAAAATTCCCAACACAGAAAAGCTTAGGAAAAACAATTAGGATTTTAGAAAACAGAAAAAGTACAAAGTCAAAATTCCCAGACGCAATGCTAAACGACTGATAAGTCAAAAGCGTCTAAGAGAGTATCGAAGTTTCCTTGTAAAGTAGTGTTAATTTGATAGCTTCAACGATAGTGTACCAATGAGCTTTCATTCATTTCAATAAGGCCCCAATCAATATGGAGGAAAATGAAAGGCCCGATATTCAAGAGTAGACGTTTCAGATCTGGCTCCAAGAACAATATAAAAGAGAGACGACTAGAAGACACAACTGTCTGTTCTGAGTGTAATAAACCTGGACATTTCATATCAGAATGTCCCAAGATTGAAAAGATGAAGAAGAAGTCAGTCGGCCTAAATATGAAAAGAAAAAAGATGTTGTTGAGCACCTGGGAAGACCTAGACACATATGACGAAGATGAGGATGCCAAAGTATGCTTGGTAGCAAGGAATGTTGAGAGTACATCGGACGACTTAGATGATGAGGTAAATTTTTCTGACCTACACTCAATTAGAAACACATACTATGAACTGTTATTATATTCATTCAAACTATCTAGTTTATATACGAATTTATGTAATCAACGAACATAACTCCTAACATAAAGAAATAATCTAAAAGAGGAATTAACTACATTTAGGGATAATGTGAAGACATTACAACAAAAGGTTAGTGATCTTAGGATAGAGTTTAGTGTCTCAAAACAAGATAAGGAAGAAACATGCTACAAAATAAGAAGCTTGTAAAAGATATAACAATAGTTAAGAACATAACACAGATAGAATCCCTTAGGAATGGAAATGATACCCTCACCAAAATACTAAGTAGAACACTTGAGGGGAATGCTAGGTTAGATCGTTTGTTAAGAGAAAGTAAGCATCCATCCAATAAACAAGGTCTAGGTTATAGAAAACCAAACATAAAACATAATAATAAAACTAACTATATTAGGTTTACTAGGTCAAATAATAATACATTGAGTTTTGAGAAGAAGAAAATGTACGTGTCTAACAAAGCAGGACCCAACTTGTTATGGGTACCTAAGAGTCAAATAATTCCCCTTTTATATATGTTTGATTACCGAAAGAAAAGCCCTATCATGGTACCTGGATAGTGGCTGCTCACGTTACATGACAGGAGAAAAATGTATGTTCCTAAGCCTGAGGGACGAGAAAGGAGGACCAATCACATTTGGAGGAAACCAAAAAGGAAAAATCATAGGAATTGGAAAGATAGGTAAAAACATTTTCCCCTCTGTTGATAATGTTTTGTTAGTCGATAGCCTTAAACATAATTGCTTACCATGAGTCAATTATGTGACAGTGGATATAATATTGTTTTTGAAAAAGGCCAATGTAGGGTATTAAATAATAATAACTCCTTAGTATTTATAGCTAACAGACAAGGTAACTTGTATAAAATAAACCTAGATGCATTGTAGTCTCAAAGTGTCTCATGTATGGTATTTATGAAAGATGAGACATTAACATGACATGATAATTGTGGACATGCAAGCATGAGATTAATCTCAAAGTTGCAACGCCATGATCTCGTTAAAGGACTGCCAAAAATATCATTCAATGATACAATCTTTTGTAGTGCTTGCAGGAAAGGAAAACAGGTCAAAGAATCTTTTAAGAGTAAAAACATGATCTCAACTAAACGACGTCTTGAGCTGGTTCATATAGATTTATTTGGACCTACAAGAACTGAGTTTATGAGTGGTAAACACTATGTGTTAGTAGTAGCTGATGATTATTCTAGATGGACTTAGTTTCTATTTATAACTCATAGGGATGAGACTTATAATGCCTCTTGCAAACTTTGTAAAAGGAGAGGCTGAAAAAAAATATTTGAAAATCATATCTATCTTAAGTGATCATGAAGGAGAATTTGAAAATGAACTTTTTGAAAACTTTTGTGAAAACTCTTACATCAGGCACAACTTTTCAACTCTAATGACTCCAACACAAAATATAGTCGTTGAGAGGAAAAATAGATCTCTACAAGAGATGGCTAGAACTATGTTAAACACTTTTAATTCTCCTAAACACTTTTGGGAAGAAGTAATTAACATTGTCTACTACATTCAAAATAAAGTTTACATTAGGTCAATCCTCAACAAAACACCTTATGAATTATGGAAAGAAGGGAACCAAACAACCTACATCGTCTAATCATTATCAACGGAGGCAAATACAGCAGGAGAACCCTACGTTGAAGTTGAGAATCAACATGAAGAGTCACTCAACGATACCAGTGAAGAAAGAAAGGAACCAAACAGCCTACATCGTCTAATCATTAAGGATCATCCTTTAGAAAAGATTATTGGAAATCTGGAAGAGCACGTGAGAACAAGATCGTATCACAAGCCCCTTACCACAATGTCATCTCTCAAATTGAGCCGCTAAATGTCAATCAGGCTTTGGAAGACAACTCTTGGGTTGAAGCTATGAAAGAAGAACTTGATCAATTCAAGAAGGATGAGGTATGAGAACTTGTTGAGTTATCCCTTAGAAAACATGTAGTCAGAGCTAAATGGGTTTATCGCAACAAGCTAGATAAAGAAGGGAACAATATCAGAAACAAAGCAAGACTAGTTGCAAAAGACTACTCTTAACAAGAAGGAATCGACCGGTTACACAGAAACCTATGCTCTAGTAGCAAGGTTGGAAGCCATTCACATTCTTCTATCATTCACAACGTTTAATGGAATCAAGCTATATCAAATGGATGTTAAGAGTGCATTCTTAAACAAACACATTAAGGAAAAAGTATATGTGGAACAACCTCAAGGCTTTGAGTGCCAGACGAATCCCACACACGTCTTCAGACTTAACATAACATTATATGGATTAAAGCAAGCCCGGTCTTTGGTATGAACGGTTAAGTCCCTTCCTTATAAATAATGGTTTCACGAGAGTTCACGTAGATACCACACTCTCTAGAAAAAAAATTCAATCAAGACTTCATCATCATTCAGATATATGTTGATGACATCATCTTGGTGCTATTGATTGAAAATTATGCCAAGACTACTCGATCATGATGCAAGAAGAATTCGAGATGAGTATGTCAAGGAGACAAACTAAAGTTCTTTCTCGGACTACAAATCAAACAAGAAGACAACGCAATCTACATCTATCAAACAAAGTATATCAAAAAGCTACTCAAACAGTTCAAAATGAATGACACCAAAAAAATGAAAACTCGAATGCATCCAACAACCAGCATTGAGTTAGAAGAAAACTCAACAAAAGTGAACAACAATCTTTATCGTCATCAAACTTTAAAATAGATATGTAAATAATATCATTTTTTATTTTTATAATTTTAACGTAACTATTACTTATATTTTTAATGACATTTAATCAAGTGTAAAGAATAATACAAAAGTTAAATTATTTGAATATTTTATTATTTATAGATTTTCAAATAATTTAAACAACCAAAAATTATAATTTTTTTATACTTTATCAATTTATTTTACTTCTTTTTACATATTTTTCCTTTAATTAGTGTCGATACATAAATTATCAAAATCAATATCTAATCAAGATTAATATCTAATGCCTGTTTCACCAACATTATAATATTGTTTATTTCATCGCGTCAGAACCTCATTAAGAATAACTTACCATCAATAAATAATAAATAATAAGTGACTGAGTAAAATATGTGATAATAAAAAACTGTGAAATTCCATAAATTAATAATTTTTGTTTTGAAAGCACATAAAAATCAATATTCTCATTTTTCTCCATGCATACTTTCATTTCATATCCATGACATCAATAAAAGAAATTAATAAATAAACAAAAAATAAATATTTGTATGGCTCATCTTTCTTTCATAATGCCACGTGTTCCCTTCCTCTCCACCCCTTTCCCTCCTTTCTGTGTGTTCCACTCCACTCTTCCTTTGTCTCCTTCTACTTCCGTTCTCCACTGTCACATTGGTTCTTCACTCCCCACGCCATGAAAATCACGCTCAAACTATAATCCTTAGCTATTCTCTCTCTACAAACTTCCATTCATGGCTATGTCTTCTCCTCTCCATTTACCCGAACTCCATTTTCTCTCTCCTCAAATCACCCACAAACGCCGTATTTCTCTCTCCAAACTCCCCTCCTCAGCTTATTCCTTTTCCCGCCACGCCGCCTCCAACGTCACTCTCCGCGCCGCGCGAATCCGCGCCTCCAGAGATGATTCAGCGTTGGCTGAGCGAGTGGATGATGTCAAATGGAGCGGAAACGGCGTTCCTGCCGCTAATGGAAGGGATCGAGATGTTGCCGGCGGCAATGGCACCGTCGAGGGATTCGCTAACGGCGCCAGTAATGGGAGCTTGGTGACGTACGGTTACGAAAATCAAAACGGAGTTGCTACGGAGGTGGTGGTGGAGAATGAAGCGTCGAAGCTGAACGAGGATGGGAGGAAGAAAAGATTGGAGGAGATTGGGAAAGAAGACGCGTGGTTTAAACAGACCGGGAGCGAACAAGTCGAGGTTTGTCGTTTTGATTATTTTGATTGCTAATGAGTAGGTTCTTTGTGTTGAAATGAAATGAAGTATGGGCGTTTGGTTTTTCGCAGGTTGCAGTTGCGCCTGGGGGTCGTTGGAGCAGGTTCAAGACTTACTCTACAATACAAAGAACTTTGGAAATTTGGGGATTTGTTGCCACGTTCGTTTTTAAGGCTTGGCTGGACAGCCAGAAGTTCTCTTACAAAGGTTTGTCTACTCAAGAGTTCAGAAATTATTTCGATCCACTGGAATTTGTTTTTATCATCACCAATATTTTGGTTATGGCCTTGTATTTTTTGTGTAACTTGATTCGACTAAGCTTGTAGGAGCTTTGGTCATGCTCTAAACAAATTTCCTCATACAATACTGTGTATGAAGTGCTCAAAAATCTGTTGGGTTCATGGAATTTAGGTTACTTATTAGACAGATACAATCAACCATGACTCGTTACTGGCTGACATTCTAATATTATGTTAATCAAGTAGTGATTGCAATCATGAATCACATTTGTTGGGATGTCAACATGTTATGTTATAGTTGGAACAGTTATAAATGAAAACTTATTCACTGACTTGAGTATAGAATATGTGAGGTCTGTGTGATTTGGTATATTATTTTTCACCACTAACACCTTAGTTTTCTTTTTGAATGTGAGGTCTATATGCCTTTGCAACTACTTTAGACATTTCTGTGCAAAATTAGGTTATCGAAGTCTAGAAATTTGAGTGCATGTCATGGTAGGTTAGTGTTTTAGCAGTGTTGATGATTAATACGTTCTCAACTCTTGAATTCCAATTTGAACATTAATCTTACCAAGTGTCATTATCATTTTTAGAAGGACAACGTATTAAGATATTGTTCATATCACTTCTTAATGAGATCTTAATGTACCCTGTCACGTGTTGGACCAGACATTTAGACTGCTGACAAATGCAGACGATCCAATAAAAGTCCGCTTTACACTTCAGAATAAACATCCATCTAGAGTGCGAAATTATAGTGGACCCATTAACAAATTTTGGATAGACCTTATATCATCTTAAGAATTTGGACCTAGGGTCGAATTCAACCATTTATAAACTTCTTATAAGGCGAGGATTGTCAAGCTTTTTAAGAACTTCATTCGAGACTTTCTGAAAATCCCTTCATGCCCATGGCTTCAAGTGTATTAATGTGGTAGCCTAACAACGAATCTAAGATAACTTTGATATATCTTAGAATTTGGAGTCAGGGCCTAATTCAATTCTACTAAACTAGTTTATAAGGTGAGAATTACCTAAGCCTAGCGAGAAAATAATACATTAGCCACATCTTTGGTCAATGTGAGATCGCAACGCAGTCCCTTACACCCAAGATTGGACATCTAGATCAAGGACAAATGTGGGTCATGACATATCGAGCATTGGCAAATATGAGTGACCAATAATTGATTTATGATAGGCTTTGATATTTTATCATTTGAGTTTAAGGCCTAAATCCTACAAAAGTGACTTATATTGTGAGTGTTGCCCAAGCTTTGAAAATACTACATTGGCCATATATCTTAGTTTTTGTGGGACTGATCATCCCTTCTCATACCCAACACAATCAAAGGGGTTCAAAGAGGCTGCAACTAAGTTGAACTAGGGGTGATTGGCAAGGAAAATTTTCAACGCACCTCATGCACTGGGCTATGAGCTTGAATCATGGTAATATAGGTGGGCTAACAATGGATCAAGGATAAACTCTAATACAACTTAAAATTTGGATTTAAGGCCTGACATAACTCCCAAAATCAAGTCGTAAGGTGAGAATTGCCTAAACCTTATAAGGAATACGTTAACTTTCATATCTCTTATGAGTGTGAGATCTCAACACACCTCTTCACATCAAAGATTGAACATTGAAGCATGGGTGATTCAATAAGAACAAGCGCAGGTTTCGGATTGAATACTAGTTCATGTGTACACATGGTTATCAAACTCACGAGTTAACTCGGTCGAGTTTACGACTTTAGTCAGTGTTTCCGAGTTAACTCGGAAGCAAACTCGGAAATGGTGTAAAATCGGTAGGCTCGTTGGTGGACTTGGTAGACTCGCTTGAAATCACGAGGTTGCTTCCGATTTGGCGAGCTTGTGAAGAAATTTTTAAAATGTAAAACGAGGTCGTTTTTGGCACACTAGAATAGGTTTTCTAATTTAGGGTCAGTGATGAAGCTCATCTTCTTCGTTCCTCTCTTGCAATTCACCATGCGCTGCTCACGTTCTTGCAATTCATCTTCTTTGTTCCTTCTTGCAGTCTCACTTGCACCCTAGCTCGAGCTGTGGCGAGTGTGCTTATTTGCCGTCACGAGCGGCTCGCTTGTCGTCGCCCTCCATCTCCCTGTCAATGGTGGTCACATGCCTCCTTCGTGTGCCTTGCTTCGCACTCAGCAGTGGTTATGATAGGTTTTTGATAAAGAAACCTATAGAAACTCACACTGACACACCCAAACTGAGAACGCTGTATAACCTCTCTTTGTATTATCAACAGTAAAGAATACAAAGTACACGAATGATGAGAGCTTAACCTCCCCCCTTACAGGACTAAAGAATTCCTGTCAGACTAAAATTCTCCAAAAGTCCCCTCTAACCAAAATACAATGCTTATTTATACAACCCCTTTCCGCCTTTCCTAACTGCCAAGGCAGTTAGGCTAACTAATGTTTCTTTCTTCTTTCATACACTCTCAACCTCCTAACAGGTTATCATCTCACAATTCTTATGTTTTTAAGTTAAGCTCTACACTGTCTTCAAAGTGGTCTCTACACTGTTTGGTTGTTTGTGTGCCTTTGTTAAGTAAAATGTTGCTGTGTATAAGTTCTAGAGAAAGCCCTCTACTACACTGCTTGGTTTTTATGTCTTGTAGTGAAAAAACATATATTATTTTGGAACCGCATCAAATTCATTATTAGAGGATCACAGGATTACACTTTTTTTACATTTCAATTTATATTTCAATTTATGTTTTAATTTATGTTTTATAATATTTATATGAACAATAATATTATGATTTTATTTATTTGAAGTTATATAATTTTGTGGATTTATTTGAATTAGAATATTATTTATATAATTTTTTTCATGTAAAGTAAACTCTTACGAGTTTATGATTCGAGTTTATCGGACTTTTACGAGTTTACTTAAGCTTTCGAGTTTAACAACCTTGTGTGTACATACATTTAACCTAGATACAAATTTAATATAGGCTTTTATACCATTTTATAATTTGGGTTTAAGGCATAACGGAACCCATAAAGTTGGGTTATAAGGTGAGGATTGCTCAAAGCTTCATAAGAGCTAAATGAGCTAGAGATTGTCACAATTAAGGCAACCCTTGTAAAGCCATCTTTTGTTATTGGTCTTTACAATGTTATTTTATGGTATTTATGATCAACACGTGTTTAATGACCTACTCCTAATTACAACCAAAATATCTGTTAATCTATGTAGTGTTTCTGTGTTGAATTTGTTGGATATCAGTTTCTGTTTTCATTTGATCTGAAGTTATTATTTGCAGGAGGAATGACTGAGGAAAAACAAACCTTAAGGCGGAAGGCCCTTGCCAAATGGCTGAAGGAAAGCATCCTGAGATTAGGTCCTACATTCATCAAAATTGGCCAGCAGTTCTCTACGAGAGTGGACATTCTTCCTCAAGAATATGTTGACCAGTTGTCCGAACTTCAGGTTAATTAGAGTGTTGAACATAATTTTATGAGATTATTTCCCTGCATTGAGATCTTTGAATTAATTTTTGTTACCAGTCATATTTATCGTTTAAAAACAAGATGAAAGACTAAAAGTGTCACATATAGAGTTTTCTTCCACTTGTTTCTGTATGCAAGGGACGTGGCTTTCTAATTGTATTTGAGCATTCTGTTGATTGTTCCTTATTCTACTATGGTTTCTTTTTGTGTCTCACAAAGTATAAGAGATAAATAAAGTTGGGGGTGATTATAGTGACCTCCCTTAAGGTTAAAAATTACACTTACACTTGTTCTGATTGAAAAATTATACCTCCCTCCATTGCACATCCCTTGCTTTTGTTATTTTTAAAGATACTGTGATATAATTTATTTATAAAAACGGGGAAATATGTGTACTTTAGAAAATGGGTAAGCAAGACTTTAATATAAAATAAAGGAGGAGGTTGGTGTAATTTTTCAATCAAGAAAGATACTATATTATGACTTGTACATAAAATGGGGGAAATATTTTAATTTTTTATAATAAAACATGTGCATGAACAAGCAAGACATTGATATATAGTAAGGTAAGTCAGTGCAATTTTTTAATCAAGAAGGATGTAAATGTCATTAGTGCTAGCCACTAAACTTAAGGAAGTTTAATGTTTTAATTTTGTAAATCTTGTAATGAACTTTCAATCTAGTCAAGAGTAATTTTAGATTGAAGTTACATCTAAACTTTATTATGCAAAAATACATTTTCATTTCTTATCGTAAGTTGTCCCTACACAACCGATGTCCATAAACGGAATGACAAATGACCTAGACACATTTTGATGTAATTTATTATATGAGAAACAAATTTCTTGTTATAATAAGATTGAATGGTTTGTTTGTATTCTTGTATTCTTGTGGTCCAAGATTTGCATCTTGCTCATGTACTTTGGCAGCAAGTGATAAAAGAACTGTTGAAAATGTTTCCCTTTGAGTTCTGAATCTGATGACAAGATGATCTTGACATAAATCTACTTGTAAAAAAGGCATACAATTAAATAGAAACAAATTAGGGAGGGTTGCATTTTTGGTGCCTTAGTCACTTTGTATTTTGGGTTCAGGATCAAGTTCCTCCATTCCCTTCAGAGACCTCTGTAGCTATTGTTGAAGACGAGCTTGGATCTCCTATAGGTGATATATTTGATCAGTTTGACTATGAACCAATAGCTGCTGCAAGTCTTGGTAATCAATGTTTTACTTTATCCATCCTTGTATTTAATGTATCATATTTGATGAGAAGATGGGAATAGGCAGCTTCTATTTTTTCTAATACAGGTCAGGTTCATCGTGCAAGATTAAAGGGACAGGAGGTTGTTATTAAAGTGCAAAGGCCTGGTCTGAAGGATCTTTTTGATATTGATCTTAAAAACTTGAGGGTCAGTGTGATAACATAAGGCTTTCCTGTTATGCTTATGGTGTTTTTTGAAAATCTGATTTTACTTTTTGATAATTCTGTTATTTCCTCTCAAATTTATCCTCTAATAATTTTTAACACTTCAAAAGTACCAAGTCCTCTTAAAAATTTGTCCTATATTAATTTTCACCCTTTTCCTTGCATAGTGACTTTCTTGTTTGCATGTATATGAACATATATTATTTGTATTCTTTAGGGAAAATTTCACTTACCTATTCTGAGGTTATTCTTAGTGACACTTACATCTCCTCTAGTTTTAAAATAAACATTCATCCCTTTTATGTTTTAATAACATAACATTCACTTGCCCTCTAGTTTTTAAAGAGACAATCATTCACCTTCCTTTTGTATTTAGTACCTGACACTCATTTCCCTTATATTTTTAAAAGTACCATACGACTAAGTTAAATGAAAAATTATGAAATTAAAAACTAAAGATCTAGAATATAAAATTAAAGAATTTATAAACAAAAAAAATATAAATAAGATAAGGGAGGTTAGTGTCATAAGAGAGGTGAGTGTCACTATTGAAAACATGGAGGTGAGTGTCATTTAGAAGTCTATTTAAAAGTTATAAGAATTGTGGGTGTCATTTTATTAGAAACATAAGGGAGGTAGGTGCAATTTTCCCTATACTTTATGGAAGTTGCTGGTAGCAGCACTTCTATCTGCGTTAGTTTTTACTACTGCATATGGAACACTGGTACCGATATCTTTTCTTTAACCCCAGGTTATTGCTGAATATCTTCAAAAGCTTGATCCAAAATCAGATGGTGCAAAGAGGGATTGGGTTGCTATTTATGATGAGTGTGCCTCTGTCTTATATGAGGTGAAGATTTCTGGAATTGCTTCTTTCTTATGTTACTTGAGTTTACTGAACTGAAATAAGTAATTTGTCTAGCTCTCCATTATCTCGGTCTAATACTGTTAGAAAGTGAGGTCCAATAATAATTTTGTAGAGAAACACTTCTTTTTTAGAAATTGAGATTTGGCCGAGGCTTGTAAGTGTTATGCTCTGTGGAATTTTGCATGTGAGAAAACTGAAGAAGTTCCTCTGATTCATGGGAGGTTTTCATAACAAAGATCCTAGAGTTTTGCAGGGTGTAAGTTGTCAGAGACAAAAGACTTGAGAATTAAACTATAAAATAATTCTAGAGAGCTTGATTGATCTCTCTCATAATCTTCTATTTATAAGAATAAATTGATACAAGAGTACATGATAATTAGGGTAATCCTAGACACAATATAATCATGATAAATAGGGTAATCCTAGACACAATATAATCATGATAAATAGGGTAACCCTAGACACAATATAATCATGATAAATAGGGTAATCCTTGACACAATATAATGATGATGAATAAGATAAATATCCTAACACTCCCCCTCAAGCTGGAGCATACAAATTGTATGTACCAAGCTTGGAACAAATAAACTCAATTCGAGGACCCCTTAATGACTTGGTCAATACATCTGCGAGTTGATCGTTTGACCCCATAAACTCAGTACATATTTCTTTAGTCAACAACTTTTCACTAACAAAATGACAATTAATTTCTATATGTTTAGTCCTCTCGTGAAATACTGGATTTGATGCAATGTGGAGAGCAGCTTGATTGTCGCAATACATCTTCATAGTATGGATGTCACAAAATTTAAGCTCTTGAAGGAATTGTTTCACCATATAAGTTCACATGTTAGTGACACCATTGCCCTATACTCGGCTTCAGCTGTTGATCAAGCTACTACATTCTGTTTCTTACTTTTCCATGAAATAATGTTTCCTCCCAGAAAAAAAACACTATCCTGTAGTAGACTGTCTATCAATAGGCGAACCTGTCCAATCTGCATCGCAATACCCAGAGACCTGAATGCTTCCTTTATCTTCATATAACAATCCTTTCCCGGGAGCCTTTTTGGCATACCTTAGAATGCGAATGAGAGCATTCCAATGGTCAACACATGGAGCCTGCATGAACTGACTAACCACTCCAACTGCAAAGGATAGATCTGGCCTTGTAATAGTGAGATAAATCAGTTTGCCAACCAGCCTCCTATACCTCTCTGGATCGGAGAATAATTCACCTTCTTCTGTCCTTAATTTCTGGTTTGGGTCCATGGGACTGTCTACCGGTCTACAATCAATCATGCCTGTTTCTTGTAATATATCAAGAGCATACTTCCTTTGGGAGATTACAATTCCATCTTTTGATTGCGCTACTTCAATGCCTAAGAAGTATTTGAGACTTCTAAGATCCTTTGTAAGAAGTCTGGGTATTGGTCTTTGATAGTTAGGACATCTTCCCAAGTCGCTTCATCTCTTCCTCCATCCTGCCATTCAACCAATATCTGTTGCATCACTTCTCTCCCCTGCTGTGTCTGCCTTCTGATTGGCCAAAAACTTGGCCCCTCTACCTGCAGTTCTATTGGCAGCTCCTTCTCCGCACTTTTCGCATCGCACCCACTGCCTTCTACAGTTGAGACACATGGAATCACTCTTCGCAAAAACACCTCAAGTAGCCTTCCAGGATTCTGTTTAAAACTTCAGTTTGCCCATTTGATTCAGGGTGATAGGTAGTACTCATCTTCAGCTGTGTTCCCTGCATTTTGAAAAGCTCCTTCCAGAAAACACTTACAAACAATGGGTCCCTGTCACTAACAATGGAAACTAGAATCCCACGTAATCGGACTATCTCCCTAACAAACACTTCTACTATGGTGCGTGCTGAATAAGGATGCTTCAGAGGTAAGAAATGACCATATTTACTCAAGCAGTCCACTACCACCAGCACAACATCATACCCCTGGGACTTGGGCAGTTTGACTATAAAGTTCATACTCACGTCTTCCCAAACAGCCTGAGGTATGGGAAAAGGCTGTAACAACCCTTGAGGAGAAGATGCTAAATATTTATGCACATACTAAACACCCAGCAACAAAATCAGTGACCTGCAGTTGTAGTCTTTAAAAAAGAGGCATACTTCTTGTTGTCCCAGATTTCATATTTCATTAGATGTTTTCAAAATTTCAAACAGTAATAGCGTTACTGTTCTACATTCTAGTTGATGTCATTGATGCGAAGATTGGGAAGACAAAGAAGTTTTAGAGAATTGAATACTTGCATGTTTACCAGAAGTTAGATCATAGTTTTGCATCATCATAGATTGTTTACGTATGAAAAAAACTTGGGGTAAGAACTAAAAAATCCATCTAAATAATACAAACCTGAGCTTAGATCATACATTAGAGTGGTCATTCCAGTCACTTGAGTTTCCGGTCTGTTCTTGTTTTGGTATGATGTATGCATGGTTCTCAGCAAATTGCATTCTCTGACCCTGTTACTGCAACATGAATTCATAATTTTTCAGGAGATTGATTACACAAAGGAGGCTGCTAATGCAGAATTGTTTGCTAGTAACTTTAAGAACATGGATTATGTGAAAGTTCCTACAATATACTGGGATTATACAACACCACAGGTTTAACCTTCATTTCTCTTGTGATGTTGTAATACACCTTTCCCATTTTAGGTCTGATAACTTACTTATCCGTAATCTATGTTCCCAATGCAGATTCTGACAATGGAATATGTTCCAGGAATTAAAATAAACAAAATACAAGCTTTAGATCAATTGGGTGTTGACCGCAAAAGTTTAGTAGAATCTTTATTTATATGCTGGCAAAATCACTATGAACCTGTTAGATTGTTATATTTTACTTTTGTGCATCTCTGTTGAGGATGGCACCTAACTTGATTCAAATTATTATTTGTTATGTTCTACAGGATAGGAAGATATGCCGTTGAGTCATACTTGGAACAAATTTTATCACATGGTTTCTTCCATGCCGACCCCGTGAGTTTTTATTTTTAGAATTGTTATCATAAATCTCTGTATGTTATGTTATATATGGATTGACTGTCTGGTAAATTGTATTGTAAAGCCAAATGGTTAACTGTCTTTGCTCTTGTTCTTATTCTGCAACGTTAGCATCTATTTGCTGAGAAATGAGATTGGTGCTACCTGTTTTACAATTAATATTCATATCTCTCAGATGATCCCGTTGTATTCCTCTCAGATGATTTTTGTGTGTAACCAATAGATGTTTACATATTCCTTGCAGCATCCTGGAAATATTGCAGTTGATGATGTCAATGGTGGAAGATTGATCTTCTATGATTTTGGAATGATGGGGAGGTACGTTCTTTGTCTTTTGTGGCTATTTTATTTATAAAGTCACCAGCAGCACATACTTAAAGCTTTGTGAGATGGTTTTCCTTTACAAATATGTCTGGTATTGTGCCTTACAGTATCAGTCCAAATATTCGAGAAGGTTTGCTTGAAACATTTTATGGGGTTTATGAGAAAGATCCAGACAAGGTAAATTCTTTTCACGATCGGTGCCTACATGAATACCAGACCATATCACATTATATACTCAAATACTTACCAAATGAAGCTTGTGTTCTGGTATATTAGGTTCTACAAGCAATGATTCAAATGGGAGTTCTTGTCCCTACCGGAGATATGACTGCTGTTAGAAGAACAGCACAATTTTTCCTTAACAGGTATTCATAGACTAATTTAGGAGGGGTGTTTGAATAATTAATTAAGCCAAAGTAGGGTGTAGTGTACTATTAACTCAACCTATAGTCGTAACTAGTTTTGCACCTAGGTATCTAGTATAGTTCCTTAATCTTCCATGTACTCTTGTATAAGTTTTTCCTTATAAATAGAAGATTGAGAGGGATCTCTCAAGCCCTCCAAAATATATTTCTTTGTTTTTAATCTTAAGTTGCTATCAGAGCGGGTCGATTCCGCTCTGGCTATCTCCATCATCTTCGACATAGTTTTCACCGCCATTCACTGTCTGCCGCCGCTGGCTACCATCACTAGCCACCACAGTTTTCGTCGGCGACCACTAGATCTAGAGTGCCTCTCTGAGCGACAACTAACCCCACCGGTGCCTGAGGCTAATTTTCATCGACGTGCTGCCAAGCACTCAACCTAAGTTCGTCGTTACAAGGCATGTGACGTCCATACGCCGTCTTCCACTCACTGAAACTTTGTGGTGCACTTGTTGCCCGTCTCGCTGGACCTTGCTATCTCGGTTTTGGCCTTCAAAGCTTCGTTCCGATGTGGTCTAAAGTCATCCTTGTGGAAGTCACCCTAGGGCTCTTGTTTTTCCTTGTTGTTTTTGCTCCTCCTCATTGGTTCCTTACTATTTTCGTCTTGGTCAACAATGGATACTGGAAATGCTATTTTATTCTCTCAAAGCCCCTGCATTACTTTCGAGAAGCTAAATGGACAAAATTATCTATTGTGGGATGCATATATTGAAATGTGGTTCCTTGGCTAAGGACATCATGACCACACTTAAAGAGTTGGGAGAGAAACTGAAATTTTTATTATTACTGTTCACTTAACCCTAATACACATACTACCCTATTTAAAGGATAGTAGATCAACATAGGAAAAAACAGAAGGCTCCTAAAAAGTTCACTCTAAAACGCCCACTAGAAAATACATTACATTTCAATACTTCCCTTTAAGCTGGAGCATATAGATCATATGCACCAAGCTTGGAACATATAAATTGAATTCTAGAGCCCCTTAGAGATTTGGTCAGAATGTGTCCGAGTTGTTCATTAGAGTTGACAAACTTAGTAACAAGTTCCTTAGACAACAACTTCTCTCTAATAAAATGACAATTAATTTCTATGTGTTTTGTTCTCTCATGAAACACTAGATTGGAGGCAATATGAAGGGCTGCTTGGTTGTCACAGTACAGTTTCAATGGCTCATTTTCACAAAATTTCAATTCTTGAAGAAGTTTTTTGATCCACACAAGTTCCCATGTAGTTAAAGCCATAGATCGGTATTCAACTTCAATACTAGATCGAGCAACAACTCTTTGTTTCTTACTTTTCCAAGATACCATGTTTCCTCCAAGTAAAACACAATATTCTGTAGTAGATCTTCGATCAATTGGACAACCAACCCAATCTGCTAGCCTTACTCTTGACTCCTAGCATTTTTTAGCTCAAGAACAGCTTAGGGTACTGATTACTTATGTTTAACCTTGAATTAATTCTCTTCTACAGTTTTGAAGAGCGCCTGGCTGCACAAAGGCGTGAGAGAGAAGAAGCAACAACTGAACTTGGATTCAAAAAACCATTAAGCAAGGAGGAAAAAATTAAGAAGAAGAAACAACGTCTGGCTGCTATTGGTAATGCACCTGATGTAACTGAATACATATTTTAAGTTTAGGCTATATAAATGTGCTTAAAAGTATTGCAGTATGTGAAGATAAAAAAATTAGTTTGGTCAGAATATATAATGTGCGGGCTATCTCCTACCCAGCTACAATGATTTTAATTACAATTAAAACTTTATGACTGTTGGATCAATCATACTTGAGGATTGTTAAATTTTATTAAGTAGCATACGAGTAGGTGAAAATTGAAGAGTCCATACTGAATTGCTTATACTTTGGTTTTATATATGCATTTTTATCATTTATTTGTTTTAAATTTGGTTGGTTTTTCCTTATTGGTTATAATGATTTTGTTTTTCAAGTTTGGCTTTCATTTGCCTCAGTAAAAGAATTATTCATCCAAACATGTAGTACTTAAAATTATTGAATACTATTGTCCATTAATTTAATAACATTATGCATCCCGTCACCTTATGGCTTGTTTACTTTGAAAAAGGGATGGATTATGATACTAGCTGTCTTGCTTTAAACAGGTGAAGATTTATTATCTATTGCAGCAGACCAGCCATTCCGATTTCCTGCTACATTTACATTTGTTGTTAGAGCCTTCTCAGGTAAATGTAATTAATGCATAAATTTGAATATCCTAAGTGCGTGGTTGTAAGGCAATAAGTCAACTTTTGTCTCTGCAGTGTTGGATGGCATTGGAAAGGGGCTTGACCCACGCTTTGACATTACTGAGATTGCCAAACCGTAATATTGTCTTCAAAATTATTAACTTTTGAATTATTTTCATTTGTTTGTCAAATTTATGTTATATGTATCTGACAACTAGCGGTCCTGACCATGTAGTTACGCCCTTGAGTTGCTGAGGTTTCGTGAAGCTGGGGTTGAGGTTGTCCTGAAGGTAGTCACAAACATGTTCTACTGTGAGTTCAGTAAATATGATGATTGCTTTCTATCATATCTATATCTTATGACGTACAGGACTTCAGGAAGAGATGGGATAGACAATCTCAAGCATTTTACAACTTGTTTAGACAGGCTGATAGAATTGACAAGCTTGCTGAAATTATCCAAAGACTGGTATTTCCCTGATTTTCATAAATATAATTGAAGTTGACATGATTCGTACCTGTTGTTTGTTTTGAACTCTTGCTATTGTAAATCACTGCTTATTACACTTAATTTTCCACAGGAGCAAGGTGATCTAAAGCTCCGAGTTAGAACTTTGGAATCTGAGAGGGCATTCCAACGTGTTGCTGCAGTCCAGAAGACTATAGGGAATGTGAGTCGAGCTAACACGTGACTTATTTGAACTATAAAAGTTAGCCTGTTTCTTCCTTTGGTTAAAGTTTCTTGTACTGCTGTAAAACATTGTCATTCTTTGTGGGTACATAGGACCTCAATATCTACTATAAGCAGCTCTAGGCTCCTCTGTTGTATGGTAGCTCTTGCAAAATCTAAGTCTTCTGGAAATTAGAACAGCTATTTTCATGTGGTGGCAATACAGTACTATATTAAATGAAGTTGTATATGTGCTTGTAGATGAGTGTAACTCATTTATCAGTGTCTTTATACTTTTTTTGCCTAAATTTCTGAGTGCCCAACTCGCCATGCTTCCAGTTATATTTCGTATATTGCAAAGGTGTGACTGTATGGTGTCTACCTTATAACATACTGGTAGTCAACATCTCAATATTTGTATTTCTCCCATGGCTTTTAAAGGATTGATGGATAATATTACTGGAGGAGACACTTGGAAAACCTGTTGGGATGATATGGGTTCTATATGTTTCTTGGTTTTGAAAACTGTTTTCTGTTTTTCTTTTCTTAAATAACCTATTTTTACTAGAGTTTTGAAATTTGTTTTCAAATTTTTTATTTCATTTTTAGTTTAAGAAATTGGAAACTAGAAAACAAGAACATCTCAAAGTTGCTTTCATTTTCAAATTTCTGTTTTCTATTGTTCATGTTCTTCATTTTGCTTTCATATCTTCGTATTCCTACTATCAAAAAATCAATTTTTAAAAACTGTTTTACGAATAATTTTTAAATATTAAAAGAGAAACTATGAAAGACATTCTTACATGCATGTTACCCTTTTGTCAATTAACAGGCAGTGGCTGCTGGGAGCCTAATCAATCTTGCAACTGTTTTGTATCTCAATTCAATTCGTGTAAGCTTTTCCCCACCTTGCATCTCTTTTTTATCTGGTTTGATCTCACTACTCAGTCACGGGTTGTCTTTTTCAGATGCCTGCCATTGTAGCATATATCTTCTGTGCAATCTTTGCTTTTCAAGTGCTCTTTGGCATTGTAAAGGTCAAGAAGCTAGATGAACGGGAACGATTGATAACAGGAACTGCATAAGCAGCTAGATGGTGAATCTTGCTTTATTTTTTCTTGAAAAAGTGCTATACGTAGTATGTTCTATTTATGATGTCATGCAAGACTGTTTACGCGTTGGTGAAATAGATCAGTTACCAATTTAATGGCATTAAAGTTTTTTCCCAAAAATTGCTGTACAGTTTTTGACAATAAGCATGCACGTTGTAACCTTTTAGAGCTGACAAATGTGACATGATGGCATCACCCAAGTACTATAGTATTTAGTCCGTGGGGCTAGTCTTTTGCTAATGTGATCAATCTCTTGTGTGTACTATTCTGGTATTTTTTTAAAAAGAACTACGAAAAATATGTAACTAGTTATAGACAGTACTTTTTACCCAATCCTCTATCTTTCCTTTTTCTATTAAATTTTGGTATCATGAAATTCTTTGACACTATTGTTCTCTATGCCATGCTGGAGGGAAATGAAATGATATTAATTTAGTGAATGTTGGATATTGCTAATAATGATATAACAAATGGTAATTCTAATGTATATCGCTTTTAATTTTATTCAAGGTTTTAGGATTGTTGTTCCATGCATTGTAGTGTTTGTGTCATAGCACATTAGGGGGCTTTTGGTTTGTTGGCGTACTTTCTCTTTGGTATCTAAGAAACCTTGTGTTCGATATGATAATTAACTTGGGTTCCTAGGTATCATACAATTTCATGTCCTATGATGATTTCATACAAATATCTGGTATGCTAGCATACCAGCTAGGGATTAATCTTAAATGCTGCTAACATGAAAGTACTGATGTGTAGAGCTAATTATATATAACTGAGATGCAAGATACAGGATACTTAAAGCTATGGATGGTTTGCTATTTTAAAGTAATACTATGATGTGCCTGCAGGTCTTTGCCATGTCCTTTATTTATAGGTTTTTTTTCTTGGGCTTATCATTGCAGATTAACGACCGAGAAATAGCACATGTTCATTCATGGTTACAACTCAACAACCAGAGCATGAAAGATGAAATGATCCGGGAGATGATAGAAAGCAATACCCAATATTTCGAAAGAGTTTCAGTAAGTACACAAATTTGAATTAGCAAGCGATGGGGTGTAACTCTACCTAAATTGACAAGGCTCTTAACCAGGAAGTACTTTAAGGAAGAAGAGCACCTGTTAATTAACAGCGAGTGCGATTAAGTAGAGAAATTTCATAAGTACTTAGAGCCACATTTTTGTCATTACACCCAATCTCACTCCCAAAATAAAAATAATAATTTCATGTAATAGCCGTATAGTAACTTGTATAGGCATGATAAAGAATTTGCATATATTCACAGTTACATTGCACTCCCGAATTGAACCGAAATTTGTCAAAGTTTAGCTATTGTCTATATAGCATGACTGTTGTAATAACTATAGTGTATGATGCAGCTTCCAACAAAAGTTGAAGAGGAAGGTTTGCCAGAAATTGACTTCCATGGATTTGTTCAATGAAAAATGTCTGCATGTGTCATCGTTGTGCTTGTTAGATTAAAATTGCATATAAACCGATAGGCTTTTGTAGGTGGTTATGGAAGTAATTTAAGAGTTTCATATCTGAGCAGCTTACGGCAAGGTAATGATTATGTGCAGAGTGTATTGAATTGACGGTCTTTATTTTCCGCTGTTGCTATTTGACATTCTGAGGTTGTCCATGGCATGAAATTAATTATTTCTTTTGTCTACGCTCGTGCTTTTCATCTACAATATGCATATGACGTGAGGACCTAATACGCCAAAATTATATACTGAATAGCAATAAAAGTGATAAGGATATGAAGGAATCCCATATGGTAGATGGCTCCCAACCTTTCATAAAGGACGGGAATTTATTATGGCATATCACATGGGCATGTTCTGTTATCTTCGTCTCTCTCTCTCTCTCTCTAAACGAGGACCTTCATGTCCTAATAAATAAACTCATTTGACTCTGGTCTCTGGAACCTGTGTAATTGGGTTGCACTGCTCTATTCTTCATTAATACAATTTTCAAATTCAGATTCTCCATACTGTAAACAGAACAGAATCCAAGTGGGAAGGCGCATGTCGTATTATTACTATGCATAAAATAAATCTTAACCTCAACAAGTATGTCGGTAACTAAGATAATTTCTATTTCATGTCCCACTCACCCAAAATGTAAATTACCTTCTATGGATCCAGAAGACATGCACGTAGCACTCAAAGGGACAATTTCATTCCTTTCAAGATGATTACTACGCATGTTGAAAGAATCGAAAGCAGATTGTCGGTTTCTTTTTTATATAATTAAAGAAAACAAAATACTGTTTTTCAAATTTTTCAAGACCACGCAATCAAGATTTTAGCTATAACTTGTACAAAGCAAAGAAAGAAAAACATACAAGAACTTTTATTGCAAGATAGTTAGATTCAGTTGTTTAATCACTTCAATGAGATCAAACCTTTAAACATATTTTATTGTGTGTGAATTTAATTTTATACCAATTTATATAACTATTTTACGTTTACACCTTTCTTTTTACAATTTTATTTTTATTCTTATGTTTCTTTATGAAAACTGTTGTATTAACTGTTATTTTATTTTGATAAATATTTTTAGTAAGTAAGAATAATGTGGACATGTATGCACCACAGTCTCTCTGTTTCTACTAGTTAACATAAACAGGATATTATATTATGAACTAACTAAAAACTATTACAAATATAAATAAAATAATTATTATAAAAATCGACAAATTTATTATTAATGAGCTGAATGGTGCTGTAAAAATCAGTTATACTCCCGAGCATTTAAATTAAATAACCAATTTTTTCATTCTTTTAACTTAATATATTTATATAAACGGTTATTCCTGAAAAATCTTAGTGTTTTTTGCATGTTAGTTATACTGTAAAAATTAAATGCAGGAAGCGAAATACGAAAAACTGCTTGTAAACAGAAAACAAAACAAAAATGTAGATTTCAGTATTTTGTTCTGTGGCGACAATTTGCATATGTTAGATGAAAAATAATAATGGAACTTTGAGTATTTGTCCTCGCCATTCTGGCATGTTTCTGCATAGAGTCAACGCACAATAATGTCCAGAAAGTTTTGGACAAACAAAAGTTCCGTACACTACACTGTGCATAAAGTTTTTATAGAAACTATGATAAGTAATCTGAAAAACACTTTTTTCCTTTACATAGTTTTTGCAACTGAAAGGATATTGGATAACATAATTTAACTGCACAATTTGCAGAAAACAAGCATGGAAATAAGCATATATTCATAGTTTTAGAGAAAGCAGGAAAGATTACAAGTTACAACTATTGAGGAAAGAAAGAAAGAAATTAATGAGAGATGATGTCTAAGGCAAAGAGTTGGTGTAGATGTAACTTTGGAACCTTTAAAATGAAACTATGAAAGCTTATAACTTCCTCAGATTCATCAACATAAACAAATAAGTATAAAATATTAGCTTCTTCTTATCACCGTCTACGTTACTTCATTCTTCTTATACACACACATCTTTAAACCTTGAAAGAAGAGCCTTTTAATCTATTAACTTTCCTCTTTATACCTTAAACTTTTATTTTATTTTAATTATTTCTTAAATTTTATCTTTTTTAAATAACCATTTTGAATTAATTTTATTCTAATTATTTTTTAACACTTATTAACCTTTTATAAATAGTTTTTTTCTCTATAATGATTAATATTTTCATTAAAGATCAATAACCAATAATACTTTTCTTCTATTTATTAATTTTTACCTATTAATATATAATAAAATAGGATTTTATAAATAATAAAAACAAACATCAGAAACTAATTAAATGCATTTTTTTCTTTCAAGAGTTTACTTTTATTGTCACATTTTATATTTTACCATATGATTTCTCTAATAGGAGTTCAGATCTAAAATATTTTAAATTCTCTTTTATTTTTTTATTTTCAAAATCAATCATTATATTGGTAAGGTATGGTTTATGAGACTAAAACTTCGGTTTTGTTTTTAAAAAGCATTTTAAACGATAAATGAAGAAAAAAATATTTAAACGATCTTAAATTTCGATCTCTAAAATATCTCGATATCTAAAATATAAGGCTAGATATAATAGAAACACCATATATTTAATTTAATGAAGAAAACTTATAATAGAGTTATAAAATAAAATATTATTATTATTAATATAATAGTATAATATACTAAATGGTATAATATCTATTTTAGTCCCAATTTTGGTTGGGAATATTCGAAATGGTCCCAATTTTTTTTTGCTGTTTAATGTTGTCCTAAAAATCGTATTTGCGTTCAATTTAGTCCTTTTTACAAACGTCGTTTAAATCGTTAACAGCTAAATATCCAACAGTGCAATCAGTGAATGACGTGGATCACCACCACCGTTGTTCATCTTCTTCGTCCAACAACCACCAGGATCATCTCTCCCTTCCTTCACCGTGGATCTCCATCAACACCATTGCCTCTCCTTCTCAAACCATCACCATGGCGACTCATCAGCGCTGTCATTCGAACCCTAAATCGAACCGTTGTTCAACCTCACGAGCGTCACGCGCAATCCTCAACACATCACCATCATCAACTGCATCAGAAACCTGCAGAAGAACCCATAAATTGCAAACTCCATTGATGCACGAAGCTTCAACCGCCATCGTAGAAGACCATCTTCGTCTTCTTCAATGCCTAGCCACGGAAGCCTCGTAATCGAAAAAACCGCCACGATGCCAACATCTTTCACCTGTAAATTCCAAAATCAACATAACCCTAACTCGTCTAAACCATGAAACAGACCCGTCATCATCTTCATTACGCTTCATGAATCCAATGTGCCATTACCGTCAACCCTTGAGCAGCGCCGCTTCTTCATTCACAAGCAACCATGAACGCAAGTAAGCGGCGCAGAAGGAAGAAGCCACTAGGTTTTTCCATTTCCCCCAATCTGAAACCCTAATTTTGGGTGGGAAAAGGGTTGTCACGTGACAGCCCATCATTAGTTGCATCATGTTTCAATCAAGACAAGTCAACAGTTAAAGTGTCAACATCATTCACTGATTGCACTGCTGGACATTTGACCGTTAACGATTTAAACGACGTTTGCAAAAAGAACTAAATTGAACACAAATTACGATCTTTAGGACAACATTAAACAACAAAAAAAAAATTGGAACCATTTCAAATATTCCTAACCAAAATTAGGACCAAAATAGATATTATAACTATACTAAATAGTATAATAAAATTAAAATGAATTTTATAAATATGAATTTTCTTAAAATGTCACTACATATAAAAAGTTAAGTCATATATGAAAATAAATAAATCTAATACATGGTATATTCAAGTTCAACCACTATGCTGGTTCACGCTAATATGGACAAAACCAATCACCCCGATTAATAAGTTTAATTGTTAAAACATAAAGACAAAGACAAACTTTAACAATAAAAAAGTTTAAGGAATCTATGATAAATTTTATTCTTAAAAGTAAAATAGATTAATGATAGGTATTTTATCTATTAATAAAAACTTAAGTTTCAATGTGAGAATCTCGCTGCTGATTATTTCTATCAAGACTTTTGAGTTTGAGGCCGATCCTAACTCACTTAAACATTTTCTAATATAAAAAATAATAATATTAAGATGGGTGTTGCTCCCTCCACCACCACCCTATACTTCCTCCACCTCCCAACATTATTTTAAATACAATTATATCCTTAAGTTAAAAAGATTTTTACTTTTACCTTATTTTAAATAATTTGAAACCCTAATTTTACTTTCCCAGCACCCACCTACGGAACTCTCTTTCCCTTTCCCCATTTTCGTTTCACCTCCCCACCTCC